AATGCATATCACAAATCAATCCCTCAAGGATTGCTATACCCCCTTTTTCACATAGTACGTGGTTTCAGAAGTAACATTTCCCTATCTGCGTTATTTTATTTGCGCAGTCTATTTTATATCACCACCGCAACGTACCTCTAAAAGGGCTATCAAAGAAACCTCCGTCTATTGATTATATACTGAAAGCCCATGGTAGGAGATCAATACATATAATTGGGTACGTTGACTGCATTCCTAATGAAGATTGTTTCTCGGCATTAGGGGGAGATAATATACTACTCCGTAGCTTTTTGAAATGCCAAGAAATTTCATAAGAATAAAAACATCTTCATTATTTAAATCCATGTACTAGTTAGATTGAACTGGAAGTTCAAAAGATAATCTATTTGCGATTTTAGCAAAAAATCTGCCAAATACATCTATTGATCATAATGATCATAAAAGAAGTGAGTAGGTCCTATATCCTTGGACCAAACATATCTATCGATACTCCTCTACACTAGAAGTGTAGGAGATCTATCGGTGTAAGAGATATGGATCGTAATACTAGATCTAGTAAAGAAATATTGTCACTCTTGAAATAGCTTGAATAATTATGTCCTGCAGACGTTCGTCCAGATGACGAAAAACCCTGGTAAGACTTATAGGTGCACCAAACAAACGTAATACTAGGGATGCGGAACGACCAGATCAAAATATCTTTGGGAAATGTTTAGAATCTGGTTATTTTAGAAATTGCCACTACTTTTACAAATATGGGAGTTTTACAAAAAAGGTTATAGTTGTCGACAACACAATTGCCATTACAAATTGCTCGTTATATGATAATCTAGATCCAGAGTTAGGCACCGGAAGTGTCATGACTATTTAATATATAAAGGAGCAATTAATGCATAGCTCGACTCGCTAAAATGAATAAATTCTCTTTATAACAATACACCATTTGAGCGTTAACCCTGAAGGTTACAAATGGGTGTGTGCATGAAAGAGAAATAAGAATAATGATGTGATAACGCGAGTTTGTAGCCTATGGGTTCACGCAGAGACCCTTTTTAATCAAATATACTCTCCCACGGTAAATGGCATTAAGTTCCGCTACATAATACAATTGGCAGAACAATAAATTTAGATATGCAGTTAAATTAATCTTGAGAAATTCCTGATGGATTCATAATTCTCGAAATGAGGATTTTTAAGTATTATTATGTGTCATTATTTACTCTTTAAAGGGTTGCGAATGGAGTTAATATCCTCATTGAAGGAATAATATGTACCATTGTGTGCTCGATAAAGGGTTGATAATAAACTTATTTATTATTTATTATCTCAGTCAAGATTGATGGTGTAAACATCAATGAAATATATAAAGAGCTTGATGATGTCGGTTCATGTTTAAAGACTGAGATTTTTGAAATAAAAAGCTTGTGAAAGCTATTAAGTATTATCTCGACTTGAAGATCGAGTTTTTCTTTGAAATTTTTTTATATACACCAGTCAACCTACATCTAAAAATGCTTTTTCACATGTCTATATGCATATAAGTGTCATGTTTTTATCAAACTAAAGGTTGCCTAATAATCTCTTGAAGCAGATAAGGAACCTTTTTGGACTCGAATTCCCTTACTTCACTATCGTTGGAGCACCATTATAGAACCATTATAATCGCAACATATTTGCGATGAAATTGCTAGCAAAATCTAGTGCTCCCCCTACAAATGAAGTACTTGAATAATGATTAACATATCTTCCGGTATCTTCGAGATACAAAGACATGACATTTATGTAAGAAACCATGATACGGTTTTAATAGGCTACTTGGGTATTGACTGTTTTGTTTGATCCCCGCAATGCCAAGTCCAAACTGGTTATACAATGAATTTCTCTAAATGTTCAAAATGAGGACAATAACACTTGTTTTGCACAAATGTTATATGAGCTCTAGAAGAGCCATAAGATTATTGTACACTACTCTAGTGACAATCCAGAAGATTTGTCCAATCCATCCCTTCAAATTTTGAAATATATGTAGAACTTGAAGATTGTTATCTTCAGGGGGAGATGGGAAGTACATTTACTTGAATCAATCCGGAAGTTTGAACGTAAAATCCTGAAGGTTAAGTCATAAAAGACTAACAGTTGCGCATTATTTGCAACACATAAATACATAAATATCATGTACTCTTTTTCTCACTAGTTTTCTTCCATTGGGTTTTCTAGTGTGGTTTTTAATGAGGCATGAGTATGATATTAATGGTGTAAATGGGAAAATATTGCAAAATAAGTGCTTAAATGGACAAACCCCAGAATCCTGAAGATTATGCAGTTTGCGCCCGGAAGGCTTAAGGTTGTACTCTTTTTCCCTTAACTAAGTTTTTCCCACAAGATTTTCTTAAGTTAAGGTTTTTAATGAGGCGACCAATACAATATATGTTTTTACATATATCATGTACTCTTTTCTTCAACTAGGTTTTTTCCCACGTGGTTTTCCTAGTGAAGTTTTTAATGAGGCATGAATATATATTTTATTGTACTCTTTTCTTGTCTAGGTTTTTCCCACAGGGTTTTCCTAGCAAGTTTTTAACGAGGCATGATTATGGCAAAATAATGTCCAAGGGGGAGTGTTATAAAACCACTATTTATGGACATTTATATTTGTAACGGAACGTAACAGATGTAACAGTTATATACATTTATTGTATTTATTACATTGAGTCCTTTATATTCTGTACTCTTGTAACTAAAGATTGAGGCTAATGAGAATACAACATTCATCTCACATATATCTCTACTCCTTTCCTTTGCTTTTGTTCTTCACGCGTTCGCCAAACTCAAGGAGGCTAAGACCAACTAAACTGCAATACAACATCTACTATATATTAATTATGATTTTAATTTTCATTTATAATGTGTAAACCATGAACCAAACACACCGTAAGGTTGTCCCATCTTGGGTATCTATTTTGAACAGCATGTCCATACATCAGTTAATGTTAAGAATAACTAGATTAAAACCATTTGTTGACACCTCACCTTGTCACAATCAACATTTATACAAAGTCCAATGATTCAAGACCTACGAATAACATACCGGAAAATACTTGGTGTACTCCCATTTTATACTCCCAACTTATACTCCCTCTCACATGTTCTTGATGTAGACATTTTTTTGTGGACCCACATATTGAAAATAACTAATCATGGTTTGCCACATCAGGAAGTACAAATGAGGGAGTACAATTTGGGAGTCTATGTAGTAGAACTCTAACATACCTATTAAATTCATTTAACCTCTTAGATACCAATTTAACTTATAAAATATGACACTTTTCTTCCTAAATTATATATTTATAGCACATTTTTTACCTGAATTATTTATATATTCACATTAGTCCCTTAATTATTCTAAAAGTAGTGATTTTATCCTCAGATATATTAAATGGACATTTTTTTTACCTTTAAATAAATATTTCATTTATTTTTCTTCTGCAAAATTGTAAAAAATGTCCCTCTATAATATGCCAATTAACAATGTCACCCCTGAATTATGAGCGGTGTAAATGTTGCCCCTCAATTATCAAAACGGTGCACATATAGCCCCTCCCGTAATGGACATGTGGTTCCAATTAGCGTACGACACCGTTAAGTCGGAGTAAATATGTAATTTAGTTGTTTTTTTCCTCCCTCGATTCGAAGTACCAGCGATGGACAGCAATTGGGAACCACAGGTCCGTTACGGGAGGGGCTATATGTGCACCATTTTGATAATTGAGGGGCAACATTTACAACACTCATAATTCAGGGGTAACATTGATAATTGACATATTATAGAGGGGCATTTTTTACAATTTTCCCCTTTTCTTCTCCAACAAATTATTGCTTATATGTAGGGATGGCCACTAACCGAATCGGACATTGTAGCATCCGAATCAAAAGGTCCCGATTTAGAATTGGAACTCAATATTTGGATTTCGGTTCATTAAAATCGCAAACCGGAACTACCGGTTCCGATTTCAAACAAAATACCGAATATTGGGTTTCAGTTGGTGATTTTAATAAACTGAAACTCAAATATTGAGTTTCGATTCTAAATCATAACCAAAATCTTTCAATTTGGTTGCTACAATGTCTAGTTCAGTTTGAATCAAACCGTGATCATTCCTACATATAAGCAATAATTTCTTCCCAAAATGTTGAATCCCCAACTCCAAGGGTCCCTACACCCCGGCCCAACAGAGAATCTGGGAAGATGTAAATCATGGTATTGAACCATAGATGCTAGACCTTTGCTTTGCAATAATTTGTTAGAAAAGAAAAATAAATGAAATATTTATTTTAAGTGTAAAGATGTCTATTTAACATATCAGAGGGAAAAATTGTCACTTTTAGTATAATTGTGGAAGCTTGAATACAAATAATTCAGGAAAAATAATGTTATAAGTATATAATTCTAGGGAAAAAATTATCATTTCCCTTTAAAACTTCCTACCATTCTTGTTACTATTTTTTTTCCCTATTTTCTCTTGCTCACTTTTTTATTTTATTTTATTTTATTATTATAAGAAGGGAGATACTATTTTTTTCCCTATTTTCTCTTGCTCACTTTTTTATTTTATTTTATTTTATTATTATAAGAAGGGAGATACCTATTTACATCAAATGCTTTCATCGGGACTTGAACCTATCACCTTCCACATATGGAAGCAACATGATACCATTGGACTACAAGGTCCTTGGCCTCGCTCACTTCTTTTAAAACAATATAAAGGAGTTAATACCCAATATAGTATTTGACTATAGTGGTTTTACGCAATTTAGTCCTAAGTGGCTTTATGCTCAGTTTAGTTCTAGACTTTTATCGTTTTACACATGAATTTAGTCCTTTGTTAAAAGTTCTGTTAGTTGGCTGTTAGAAATAGAGTCCTAATGGTAGTTTATCATCTTTCATTTCATTTGGGATGATTCCTTCTTTCTTTCCCTTATTAAGCTCCACGCAGAAATGCAAATCTTCATCTCCAAATCAACTTCTGCCCTAAATAAATAAATATTTACTAGTTTATGCTAAACTAATCTTAAACCCATAGAACATACTCTTGCACAAGAGTCGTTGGAAGAGGTAAATCGCGCCGAAGAATTACTAGAGGAAGTAAATCGAGAGTCGCCAAACAATCTTCCAGGTAGAAGGAACTTGTTGTGTTTGTGATGCCCGGCATGGGTGAGGAGCAGATATGTGCCCTTAAGGATATTGGATAAAAGAATTGACTAGAAGAGAGAATCACTCAACTAACTCCAAAACTTTTGGTGATTTCGCTAGTGTTTATACTATGGAGTATGGACTCATCTTGTTGAAGAATTTCTTCTACGGAATTTTATTTATTTTAATATATTTCTATCCTAATTATTAGGATTCTGTGAGTTAAAGACTTTTTATCTCTTCCATAAGTATTTGATTCGAAATAATAAAAATCAAACAGTACATGTGGTGTTTTCGGGATGAGAAAAAATGTCACATAATTTTAAATTGAAAACCGTGAAAATATCATTTGCAAGACAAAGAAAAAGAAAGAAAAGAAAAAGAAGGGTATGAGATATGATATATATTTTAGAAGTTGACAAGATTTCCATGGGTAAACCAACTAGTAGTCACACTTTTATAACTAGCAACTACACACATATATGATTATAGTCCTACTCTATAGCACAAATATAACAAATTAAACAAACTCATCCATATAATATTTAAAATCCGTAATATGGCGGCAAACACAAAGGATGCACAACCACTGCCCAAAGCATGCACCAAACAACAGTAATATTACTCCAGGGTAACTATTGTTTGATGTTTTTTGTTTTTTAGCCATAGCAAAGATAACTGGAGGGTACCTATGGTATGATACCTTTTTTGAACCACTAAAGATAATTCGAAGGTACCTATGGTCTGTTGTCTTTTTTGAACTACAACAAAGGTATATAACTCAAGGGACCTATGGTCTGAAGAAGCCTTTTCTGAACGACAACAAAGGTAACTCAAGAGGCTCATGTCTTTTCTGAACGACAACAAAGGTAACTCAAGAGCCTCATGCCTTTTCTGAACGACAACATAGGTAACTTGAAGGTACCTATGGTCTAAGGCCTTTTCTGAACTATAACAAAGGTAACTGGAGGGTACCCGTGGTGATGATTTTTGAATCACAACAAAGGTAACTAGAGGGTACATATGGTCTGAAACCTTTTCTGAACAACAACAAAGGTAACTCCATAGCTTGAGGGTACGTATGATTTTATGTCTTTTCTGAACTACAACAAAGGTAACTGAAGGGTATACGTGGGGTGATGACTTTTCTGAACCACAACAAAGGTAACTAGAGGGTAGGATAGATGCCTTTTCTTAACCGCAACAAAGGTAACTAGAGGGTACCTATGGTCTGATGACATTTCTGAACCACAACAAAGGTAATTGGAGGATACCTATAGTTGGTGACTTTTCTAAACCACAACAAAGGTAATTGGAGGGTACCTATAGTTGGTGACTTTTCTAAACCACAACAAAGGTAATTGGAGGGTACATGTGGTACGGTCGATCTAATGACTTTTCTGAACCATAACAAATGAAATTGGAGGTACCTATGGTTGATGACTTTTCTGAACCATAACAAAGGTAACTGGAGGGTATCTTTAGTCTGATGACCTTTCTGAATCACAACAAAATAAATGGAGGCTGCATGTAGTTTGATAACTTTTCTGAACCACAATAGGGTAACTGGATGGTACCTGTGGTTTGATGGGTCTAATGAATTTTCTGATGACTTTGACGAGGGGCTTGAGTTGTTTGGTGTCCAGCGATCAACTGTGCCACTTAAGAAGTTAAACTTTGTAACTAAAACCTTAAAACCCAATTGCTAAATACTCAGAACCCAGAATTTAGTGATGCTTATATGATCATGCCACTTGCCACATTCTCCTAACAGGATCTTGTGTAATTCTATGAAGATCTTTGATAATAAGCTCTAACATGTGGGCTTCCGCAGAAACCAAACCAGCACACTTAGTGACCTGAGATGCAACATTCCGAGTACAAATAACAAATACAATATAATTGTTACGATCGAACATTTACTCACTCCAGTATAGATTTTTGAAGTTCTTCAGCCCTGTTCCGAACAACTTTATCTGGAGAACGGCGTAAAAGAGTCTCCGTTAAGACGACTCACTATCCCAAAAGTTATAGCTTGTAGTCCAGGTGTAACTTTATTTTCTTATACCGCCACATGTAGTGCGTTGGACTTGGCCTTTCAAGCCTCCACCCAGCAATCCCCTAGCCACCAATTGCTGGACTTACTTGAATCCGTGACGACCTGACTCTAACATCACTTGTTATCACTACGTCAAACGCTATAACTCATAGTGAAAGCTCAACTTTATTTTCTTATACCGCCATGTTTTTAAGAGGATGGACTTGGCCTTCAGGCCTCCACTCAGACTAATTGTTGGACTTGACATTTCACTGACTTCCGTCCAACAGTAAGAAGTAATAAGAAAAACTCAAAGTTTCATTCAACAAAATATAAACCGCTATTCAACTAGATGCACATGTTCTGCACAAAGAATGCAACGGATCCTCGGTGTAATTGAAAGTAAAGTTGAAAGCATTTAATTTATCCAAGAGAAATGAATTGCAAAATCAATGAGCATTGTTATGCTAGGGTAAAGAAAATGAAACAAAGTTCGATTTATCTAACCTTCACTTTCTTCATCATATGCTGGAAGTCTCTTTAATTCTAAGATGAGATGAGCCTGCCTTGAAGCTGTTTGTATTGGCTCAGGTGATCGAGAAGAAGCCTTCTACAAAGTGTTTTTGCATTCATCACAGACGATGCTGGCTCAATCCTCATCCAATGACAATTTACTACAGGCGCATTGTGCGAATAGTTCAATGCCAATGTGTATTTTTAAATTAGTGTTTTAAAATTTATCAAAGTATCATTTCTATCCTGACGTATATTAATGTAAGATTATATATCAAATTTTTCATAAGAATATTACAAAAATGCATAACTATGCATCTTGACATGACGCTTAAGATAAAGAAAAGACTTCACAATATCAGATAAAAGTCAAACTCTATTAAATGGTAGGTCTACAAAAAGTCACTTAAAGACTAAATTGCGTAAAACTACTATAGTCGATGACTATATTGAGTATTAACAGAGTATTACTCCATAAGAATTCATGTATGCAAGAATTTTTTGTCAAATCTTTCACTATATGACATAACTTTGTATATAATATAATTAAGATATGGGCAGATCATCAATCACTCTAATTCAAAGAATGTAAATAAATATAAAGCAATAAAGTAATAGAAATGAAACATACATCATGGGATTCATGGGCAACATAGTTGCTTTAATTAATGCTATATATTGAATAGCATGAGAGAATAGCACATTAGTGTCTATAAGCTAACTCCATCTCCCTCTATAAATACTTTAGTAGTTAAGCTACGTCCATAATAAGCTAACTCCATCTCCCTCTATAAATATTACTATACATACACTCCTTCCCCAATTATTAGTGCATGAATAAGAAAGAATTAGATAGAGTTTGTGACACAAGGAAACTAAGGATCGGAGTTTAACATAAAGAGATTAATGGCAATCATCATCTTTGGCCCTCAGCATTTGGAATCCTTGGTAAGTTGTTTTTTCCTATTTAATATAATGTCGGAAGAAATTTCAATTTTGGTCATATGACTATAGGAGTCTTGTTAATTTTAGTCCTTGACTTTTAAAAATGTCAATTTAGTATCTGCAATTTTTGTCAATTTTGATCACTCCGGTCAAATTTCGCCAGAAAATTTTAATAATTAAAATAATGAAGATATTTTGGTCGTTTCACGTCTCTTTTCTTCTTCTCCCGTTTTCGATGTTCTTTGTCCCTGTAAACCTTATCTTTAATATCATCAAACATCCTTTCCCCATCATCTTAGTTCTTTATTCGCCGGAAACGGTAGAGGAAGGGATGGACTCACCTGGGAAGAAGAAAAGAGACGTGAAACGACCAAAATATCCTGATTATTTTAATTATTAAAATTTTCCGGTAAAATTTGGCCGGCAATTTGACCGGAGTGACCAAAATTACATAGTTAAGGTACTAAATTGACAGTTTAAAAAGTCAAGGACTAAAATTAACAAGACCCCTATAGTCATATGACCAAAATTGAAATTTCATCTATAATGTCGTCACTAACATGTTTCTTACTGAATTAATGATTTATTTGCGTATTTGTATTCCTTACATCAGTGTAAGAATAATTAATGATTATAACTTTTTATTTTGTAGTTGCCAAGCATCTTTGCATTTTTGTTGGGATTCATAAAAATTTTGCTGTACGCGATCTATTTAGAGCCAAATCTAATTTCCAGAGCTTGTAATGAACATACAGATGCTAGGGATATATGGTGTACTCCGTGAACTGTGGGAGAAATTCATGCAACGAATACTCGAACAAAATCAGAGGGAGGTTAATCATTGAAAGGAATAAATTAAAATTTGAACTGAAATAATTAAGGGAGTATTTATTGTATTTTACACCATTTGTTATGTTAATGTTTTACTAGTAATAAATGTAATTATTAATTAATAGATTTGATGATGCTAATATAATGTATTATCAGAGAATTTCACTTTCTAAAACCAACTACAAATTTCTTTTAAAACAAATGTGTAAAGGCTGAAAATAGGATAAAAGTCTAATTAAGGCAAAGTCCAAGCAAATTCTACTAAAAATCCATTAGAGCATTATTAGAGCAGGCAACACCAAAAATTTCAGTAAAGTATAACCATACCGGGGCTATCCTGCTACATCCAAACAAGCAATGTTCCATGGTAGCCACGGCACCCAACAAAACGGACATTATAAGGCGGAGGGGCCGAGGTCGGAGCTTCCAAGACCTAACCTCAGCAGGCCGGTACTATCCGTAAGAATGGTTACATTATCATAAAAAAGCGCCCCTACAAGGTTGTGGAGGTTTAATTTCCACATCCAAAAGTGGCAAGCTAGCATATATGCATGGTGGTGCTAAGTGTCACTTTGTTTGGATGGACATCTCCACTGCTAAGAAGCTTGAAGATATTATTCCTTCGATCTCCTCACAACTGTGTTGTCCTTCGTGTTTCTCGGAGGATATGATGGATTTGTGAGTCTTTTCACGGAGAATGGTAACACTAAGGATGACTCTCACAAAGATCAAGGATGAATTTGGTGAGTAGTAGTTTCTTTTTTATACATTAGGTTTCCCGGTTTTTGTTAAACTAATTGTTGGAGGATAAAAATAAAACAACTCTCAAGAATAGCATAGGGCTTTTATTGTATTTTCCTAATCTTTCTATAACCGTTTTCTTTCCTTTTATATTGTAAAGGTTGGTGCTCAGCTTGAATGATATTCTCCATATTCATCTTCTCAGAACTCTTTGTCTCGTTTCTCTCTGCTTCTCATCACACATGTGATCAATCTCCATCACTAATCTTAAACTCATAGAACGTACTCTTGCTCAAGAGTCATTGGAAGAGGTAAATCGCGAGTTGCCAAGCAATCTTCTAGCAACTACACATATATGATTACAGTTCTACTCTATAGCACAAATATAACAACTTAAACAAACTCAGCCATATAGTATTTATAATCCTATCCGTAATATGGCAAACGCAAACCATGCACACCCACCGCCCAAACCATGCACCAAACAACAGTAATATTACTCAAGGGTACCTATTGTCTGACGCTTTTTTGTTTTTTGTTTTTTTTTTTTTTTTGTTTATTATTATTAATTTTTTTGTTGTGCCCATAGACGGAGCCAGAGGGGGGGGGGGGGGGCAGGGGGGTCAGCTGCCCCCCTCACCCCACCCCACCCCACCCCACCCCCTACCCTATATTGTATATAATACGTATATATAGTACATTATTCATATAAGTATTATAAAACAGATTATATAAACAAAAATTGTGATAGACAATGTCGTAGCTAATGTTTATGAGTTTTGGAATGACTTGGGTTCGAGTCTTTGCATTGGCAATGTTATAGTCTTATTCACTTTTTTGATTAACACAATTAAATTTTGGCATGATATATATAACTTCCATTATAACTTTCTTTATATTAATAATGGAATGTGTAATTTATAATGTGTTTTATATTCGAATTGTATTATCAAATTAATTATGTTTCATATTTTGTTATAAATATTTTTATAAAGTTTTAATATGTTTTATTTTTCGCTATATCCAACAATATTTATTGTTATACTTCTTAAGTATTTCAATTTTTTTTTAAACTTTCTCTTTTATTTTAATTTTTTTCCCTCACTAAAAAAAATTCTGAATCCGCCATTGAATCCATCCCTACTTCTTTGCCCCCCCTCAACATATTTTCTGGCTCCGTCCCTGGTTGTGCCACAACAAAGATAATAGGAGAGTACCTATGGTATGATACCTTTTTTGAATCATACACTACTGGAAATTATGGAATTTCCGACCACCTGAAAATGATCTTAAATTAAGTTGATACCAGAAAGTCCAAAAAGTGGTCGGAAATAGCAACAAAGGTTTTTCCGGATACCAAAAGTGGTCGGAACAAGATTTTTTACTTGATTTAAGATCATTTTCAGGTGGTCGGAAATTTCATAATTTCCAGTAGTGATAATAAAGGTAATGTGAGGGTACCTATGGTCTGTTGTCTTTTCTGAACCACAACAAAGGTAACTCGAGGGTACCTATAGGCTAATGCCTTTTTTGAACGACAACAAAGGTAACTCAAATGTACTTATGGCCTGATGCCTTTTCTGAACGACAACATAGGTAACTCGAGGGTACCAATGATCTAAGGCCTTTTCTAAATTACAACAACGGTAACTGGACGGTACCCTTGGGATGATTTCTGAATCACAACAAAGGTAATTAGAGAGTACCTATGGGCTGACGCCTTTTTTGAACAACAACGAAGGTAACTCGAGAGTACCAATGATTTTAAGCCTTTTCTAAACTACAACAAGGGTAACTGAAGGGTACCCGTGGGATGATGACTTTTCTGAACCACAACAAAGGTAACTAGAGGGTAGGATTGATGCCTTTTCTGAACCACAACAAAGGTAACTAGAGAGTACTTAACCACAACAAAGGTAACTAGAGGGTACCTATAGTTTGATGACTTTTCTCAACCACAACAAAGTAACTTGAGGGTACCAATAGTCTGATGCCTTTTCTGAACGACAACAAAGATAACTAGAGGGTATTTGTAGTCTAATGACTTTTTCTTAACTATAACAAAGGTAATTGGAAGATACCTATAGTTAATGATTTTTCTGAACCACAACAAAGGTAACTGGTGGCTTAGGTACCTTTGGTCTGATGACTTTTCTAAATACAAAGTGAGCTTAAAATACAAATTACATTTTCAAACCCAATAAGTTCATGAAAAAACAATACCTATAAAATATTGCTATTCAATTAGATGCACATGACCTGCACATACCATACGGATTGTAGCAATTCAAAATATGAAAACTCAAAATTAAATTTCATGCAACAAAAGATAGTCATATATACATCCATCTACCCCTCACCCCTAATCACTCTGTTTTCTCTGTTGGAGATAATGAACCACAATCGATTTAATATCCGTAAAATAATATTTATATATATATACACACGAAATATATATAAAATATTATTAGATATATATCCGAAATATATATATACACACAAATATATATAAAACGGACTCAACGGTTATATATACATGTATATCTACGAAAAAGATATACCAATATATATCAACCAAAAAGAAAATATAATCCTTAGATTATAATTTCAAAACAACAAGAAAGAACGGATTTTTGCTTAGAGCATAATCCAAAACAAGAAAGAAGAAGAAAGAAAGAAATGTACGAGTTAGGCAAAGTGCCTGTCTTTCCTTAAAACCTTATTTGCCACCTCCCAAAAGTGCTAGGAGCGTTGTGGCCTAGGTTTCCCAAGATAAAACGTACAACGGTTCGACGTTTGAGCACCCAAACGAACGAACCCGGCGAACTAGAGCACGGGCAAAACACAGTAGCAAGAAAAGGAGTAGGAGCAGAGGTTTTGAGAAGGAAAATTTCTTATCTTTGTGTGTTGTGTACTCTCGTGTTCTTCCTACACTTGTTGTCAATCACTTGTTCCTACTACCTCTTCTTATATAGGAATTGGAGTACTAAATAGCATTTAATTTGACACTTAATGCACGATTTGTAACACCTGAAACAGCCACCATTATTTGAGTTTTAATTCAAAAATCAAACTGGAATTAATATTGTAACAGTCCAGAACCAAACCAAAGAATGGTTCATACTTTCGTGCAGTGCCATATTTGGCCAAGGCCGAAACCAGCAGTGTGTTGTGCTGGTTTCTTTCGGCCTTGGCCGAAACCACCAACATGAGAGGAGACTTCCTCTCGTGGCCGAACTCGCCAACACGAGAGGAGACTTCCTCTCGTGTTACACTGGTCTCTTTCGGCCTTGGTCG